ATAACATAGTGATTCACAATTTTTAAAGATTATACTCCATCTATAGTTACTGTAAAATACTGATTATAGTCCCTGTGTTGTACAATATATCCTTTTAGTTTATTTTAGACCTAATAGTTTGTTGCTACCCCTATATTGCCCTTCCCCTCTCCCTACTGATAACCACTAGTTTATTCTCTGTATCTGTGAATTTGCTTCTTTTTGGTTATATTTACTAGTTGTTTCTTTTTCTTTTTTTAAGAGTCCACATATAAGTGATATCATACAGTATTTTTCCTTCTCTGTCTGGCTTATTTCATTTAACATAATGTCTTCCAAGCCCATCTATTTTGTTGCAAATGGCAAAATTTCATTATCTGTTCATCTGTTGATAGAGATAATATTCTTAAAATAGTTGTTTTAACTAGGTTGTTTTGACTAGGTTGACTGTATGACTAAAATATTTACTATTGTTTTTTAATAATGAAAAAATCTATAGCATAAAGTGTATCACAGTATATTTTGCAATTTCTGTAAATTGAATCTTAAGCAATCTAGTATAGAGGTCTTTATGTGAGTTTGTTTTATACAATGTCCTACTAAAATCAATAAATTGTAAAAGCTCTATCTATGCAATTGCAAACCTAAGATACTACTTTGCTAGACTCTAGCTTTGTGTCTCTTGTAGCACTGGAGAGAAGATGGTATATATATTTAGACATCTTAGTTCATTTTCTTTCATTTATGAAGGTGGTGCTACAGTTTGAGTGTCTCTCTTAGCCCTTGACACCCATCTCCACTGGGGTTGGAGCCCTGTAATAAACGTGCCACAATTTGACCTTTTATATCTACATCATAAAATCAGGCAGATGGTGTAGTTTATGGCTAACAGGCAAGAGTTTCTCCGTTTGAAGCTGTTTTTTTTCCCACAACTAATCCATTACCAGGTATGCTACCTGCCATTTTATCTGATGTGTCCTTACAAGGTAACTAGGAAGTTTACTAAAATAACTTCTAATATGTTTTTGAAAAAAATCCCAAATTTTAATTGTAATAATTAAATAGCTAACATTGAATGCATTGAGTTATGTTAGCACATTTCCTGGGTATCATGCATCACTGTTTCAGTGTTATGGCTTCTGTCATAAACTAATGTAATTCAAAAGTGGTCGAGTAGAGAATGAAACTATAAAAAATGCAAAATCACTTATGTTATGCTTGAAAGTAATAACATTTTTATTGACATTTCTGAAGAAAAACTGAAAACTCACCTGTGACTGAGCTGCATCTGAGTTCATGATCATTTTAATATTGTAGTAATACATTTATTGCTTACTTCTTACCCCTATGTTTGAGACTTCCTTTTCTAAAAGGTGGTAGATTAAATACAATAAAAAAAAGAGTAGGTCTCTGAATTATTTAGGAATAGATGGGTTTTGCCATGATGCTAATTACATTTATATTATTTGAATCATATGTCAAAGTTTTCTAGTTGGATCCATCCAAATGTGTAGTATCAATTAAGGTAGAAATTATTATCAGGCTTATCTTAGATACTGAATATATTTGTAAAAAATATGAGTAACAAACTTTTTTTTTCTAGTTCTAATTCTATACAAAATAAGACATGTCCATATTTTGAGATACTTCTAGCTCTAGAGGTCTAATATCTATGGGTAAATAATTTTATTATTTATAAGGAAGTCAAAAAAAGTTGAAATTTTAGACTCTGAAGTGCATCCTAATAGTATCGGAATAAATGATATGTTTCTTAAAATAGTTCCTTTATACAGAAATCATAACTCACTTTTTCACATAAAAAATATTAGTGCTTAGTTTATATTACATACTAAAATAGCATGTGCATATAGATATTGTTATTGTTGTTTAGTCACTAAGTTGTGTCCAACTCCTTTGTGATCCCGTTGACTGTAGCCCCCCAAGCTCCTCAGACCATGGGAGTTGCCAGGCAAGAACACTGGAGTGGGTTGCCATTTCCTTCTCCAGGGTATCTTCCCAATCCAGGGATTGAATCTGCATCTCATGCATTGGCAGGTAGATGCTTTACGACTGAGCCACTAGTATTAGTGACAGGCTAAAGACAGGGCAGTCATAGCAAACACCCTCTTCCAACAACACAAGAGAAGACTCTACACATGGACATCACCAGATGGTCAACACTGAAATCAGACTGATTACATTCTTTGCAGCCCAAGATGGAGAAGCTCTATACAGTCAGCAAAACAAGACCGGGAGCTGACTGTAGCTCAGATCAAGAACTCCTTATTGCCAAATTCAGACTTAAATTGAAGAAAGTAGGGAAAGCCACCAGACCATTCAGGTATGAGCTAAATCAAATCCCTTATGACTATAGAGTGGAAGTGAGAAATTGATTTAAGGGACTAGATCTGATAGACAGAGTGCCTGATGAACTATGGACGGGGGTTCATGACATTGTACAGGAGACAGGGATCAAGACCATCCCCATGGAAAAGAAATGCAAAAAGGCAAAATGGTTGTCTGAGGAGGCCTTACAAATAGCTGTGAAAAGAAGAGAAGCAAAAAGCAAAGGAGAAAAGGAAAGATATTCCCATTTGAATGCAGAGTTCCAAAGAATAGCAAGGAGAGATAAGAAAGCCTTCCTCAGTGATCAATGCAAAGAAATAGAGGAAAACAACAGAATAAAGACTAGAGATCTCTTCAAGAAAATTAGAGATACAAAGGGAACATTTCATGCAAACATGGATTCAATAAAGGACAGAAATGGTATGGACCTAAAAAGCAGAAGATATTAAGAAGAGGTGGCAAGAATATACAGAAGAACTGTACAAAAGAGATCTTCATGACCCAGATAATCATGATGGTGTGATCACTCACCTAGAGCCAGACATCCTGGAATGTGAAGTCAAGTGAGCCTTAGAAAGCATCACTACGAACAAAGCTAGGGGAGGTGATGGAATTCCAGTTGAGCTATTTCAAATCCTGAAAGATGATGCTGTGAAAGTGTTGCACTCAATATGCCAGCAGATTTGGAAAACTCAGCAGTGGACACAGGACTGGAAAAGGTCCGTTTTCATTCCAATCCCAAAGAAAGGCAATGCCAAAGAATGCTCAAACTACTGCACAATTGCAGTCATCTCACACGCTAGTAAAGTAATGCTCAAAATTCTCCAAGCCAGGCTTCAGCAATATGTGAACTGTGAACTTCCAGATGTTCAAGCTGGTTTTAGAAAAGGCAGAAGAACCAGAGATCAAATTGCCAGCATCCACTGAATCATTGAAAAAGCAAGAGAGTTCCAGAAAAATATCCATTTCTGCTTTATTGACTATGCCAAAGCCTTTGTGTGGATCACAATAGACTGTGGAAAATTCTGAAAGAGATGGAAATACTAGACCACCTGACCTGCCTCTTGAGAAACCTATATGCAGGTCAGGAAGCAACAGTTAGAAGTGGACATGGAACAACAGGCTGGTTCCAAATAGGGAAAGGAGTACGTCAAGGATGTATACTGTCATCCTGCCTATTTAACTTATATGCAGAGTACATCATGAGAAACGCTGAGCTGGAATAGCACAAGCTGAAATCAAGATTACCGGGAGAAATATCAATAATCTCAGATATGCAGATGACACCACCCTTATGGCAGAAAGTGAAGAGGAACTAGAAAGCCTCTTGATGAAAGTGAAAAAGGAGAGTGAAAAAGTTGGCTTAAAGCTCAATGTTCAGAAAAGTGAGATCATGGCATCTGGTCCCATCACTTCTTGGGAAATAGATGGGAAAACATTGGAAACAGTGTCAGACTTTATTTTTTGAGGCTCCAAAATCACTGCAGATGGTGATTGCAGCCATGAAATTAAAAGACGCTTACTCCTCGGAAGGAAAGTTATGACCAACCTAGATAGCATATTGAAAAGCAGAGACATCACTTTACCAACAAAGGTCCGTCTGGTCAAGGCTATGGTTTTTCCAGTGGTCATGTGTGGATGTGAGATTTGGACTGTGAAGAAAGCTCAGCACCAAAGAATTGATGCTTTTGAACTGTAGTGTTGGAGAAGACTCTTGAGAGTCCCTTGAGCTGCAGGGAGATCCAACCAGTCCATCCTTAAGGAGATCAGTCCTGGGTGTTCATTGGAAGGACTGATGCTGAAGCTGAAACTCCAGTACTTTGGCCACCTCATGTGAAGAGTTGACTCGTTGGAAAAGACCCTGATGCTGGGAGGGATTGGGGGCAGGAGGAGAAAGGGACAACAGAGGATGAGATGGCTGGATGGCATCTCTGACTCGGACATGAGTTTGAGTAAGCTCCTGGAGTTGGTGATGGACAGGGAGCCCTGGTGTGCTGCAATTCATGGGGTCGCAAAGAGTCAGACACGACTGAGCGACTGAACTGAACAGCACAACTCTTACTCAGAAAACTATTACTCTACTGTGTTTTCTCAATAGAACAGTTTAGAGAAATAGTGACTTTAAATATTCATAATAATAATCCAGTTAACTTTAAAAATTCACATGTGGATATGATGTTAAGTCAATACTAATATTCTTCTACAATCAAAATATTAAGCAATTCTAATTATATAAGATTGCTTCAGATGAGAGTCTTTTGACATCCTATTTTGTAGCCAGACTTTTATTCTTTTGACATATATTTTCAGACCTAAGAAAGATACACATTTTCCATATTATCAGTGACAAATCCTATTTCATTCTGCCTTTATATTTTTCCTGTTTATATTTTCTGTGTAGACATTTCAAATAGTGGTGTGATATCTGCCTTAGACTTCTTGTAAGTGTCTCTACTTTTCCAAATAAGGTGCAAGAGTGAAGTAATCTAATTACAAATGAAAGGCATGTGCTTATATAATTATAAGCAGAAGCTAACAGATGCTCTTTACAACTCCTAGTATACATAAGAGACTCAAAGTTAGATACTTTTACAAATCATTCATGCCATTTTTTAATAAAATTCAGTTAACAGGTAAGCATTTGCTGATGTTGTGGTGGGTTTTCTCTTCTACAGGTACTGGGAGATCGGTGGGCAAACATCTGTAGGTGGACTGAAGATCGCTGGGTTCTTTTACAGGATGTTCTTCTAAAATGGCAACGTTTTACTGAAGAGCAGGTGAGTCACATGGGGGATAATGTATCAGTGAAAGATGTGGAGAGATGTTAAATAGGTACATAAAAAACTATGATGTACTTTAATAATTATTCTTCTTTATCTTTTGAAATTATTTGGTTTCTTTCAGTGCCATTTTAGTACATGGCTTTCAGATAAAGAAGATGCAGTGAACAAGATTCCCACAACTGGCTTTAAGGATCAAAGTGAAATGTTATCAAGTCTTCAAAAACTGGCTGTATGTATTCTTTAGCTATTGATATTATTAAACAAAAACAGTAGTTTCTACTAACATCCGTATTTGGTCTTTCTAATGTTTAAGTCTTAAACATAATATTCATTGTTCTTTCTTAGATCAGTCTCTTTAATTATATTGTTACTTGTCTTAATTAAAATAGGGAAAGGTGATTGTTGGAAAGATTGAAGGCAGGAGGAGAAGCGGGCAACAGAGGATGCCATGGTCAGATGGCATCATTGACACAATGGCCATGAATTTGAGCAAACTCTGGGAGATAGTGAAGGACAGGGAAGCCTGGCATGATGAAGTCCATCGGATTGCAAAGAGTCGGACATGACTGAACAGCAACAAATAGTATTGCTCTCCTCACATAGTGGAAAGAGAAACTCTAGTGTCTCTGCCTCTTCTTACAAGGTCATGAATCCCATCATGGGGGCTTCACTGTCATAAACTCATCTAAACCTAATTGCCTCCTGAAGGCCCAATGTCCTAATACCATGATATCAGGGGGTGTAGAATTTTGTTATATATATTTTGTGGGGACACAATCATTTAGCCCATATCATTACACCCTTGGACTCTCAAAACGTGTGTCTTTCTCACATGCAAAATATATTCATTCCATCTGAACAGACCCAATATAACTTATATAGTCCCAATGTCAACTCTTCAGCATATATTGTAAAGTTCAAAGTCTCATCATCTAAATCAAATAATACTCAAGGTCTGAGGCCAAGCTCTCCAACTATGAATCTGTGAATCCAGACTAGTTATATGCTTCCAAAATACAGTGGTGTGACAGCTATAGGATAGGTATTCCCATTCAAAAAGGGGAAATAGCAAAGGAGGAAAGGGTGACAGGCCACATGTAAGTCTAAAACATAGGAAAAACAATTCTGTAAGTTCCTAATGCTCAAGAATATTCCTCTTTGGACTGATGCTCTGCACTCCAGGGCCACCAGAGTGGCACCATCACCCCCAGAATTCCACAAGGTGGCCTCGCCTCTTCAGCTTCACAGTGCACTGCCCGCCCACATGGCCCTCTGCTGCAGCCCCACTCATAGGACTCCCTGTCGTGGCTTCTCCTGAGGCACTGGGTGGGGGCATCCTGCATGCCTGTCCCCCAAAACCTGAGAGGTGGTCCCACCCTTTGAAGCTCAGGAGGAACTGGCTCTGTCATTTGGGCCTACAGTAGGGGTGACAGCCCTGATGTCTTTGTATCACCCACATCATTCTCTTTTCTTGATGGGAAGAATGTACATGTTCACAGCCTGCCTTCAATCCATCTAGTTTTCTTTGTTTCCATTAGTCCCAGCTGGCAGTTTCTGCTGGTATATTACAGTATCCATAGCTTCATATTCATGTGTCCACAATGTATACATCTGTATCCCTGGCTTCTGATCAGAGAGCTGATTAGGTTTCTGTTTCACATCCACACTAATATCCTCATTAAATAGTAGATCAACCACACCCTAGTGTTCACGTCTAAACAGCCTTTCTCATTTCTTTTTTTCATATGTGGATAGACTAAGAGTCTTCCAAATCCTTAAGTTCTGGTTCCTTTTTGTTAAACAGTTCCTTCTTCAATTGATTTTTCACTTCTTGCTTTTTTACCTTAAGCATTCAGATGAAACCATGCTGTTCCTTTCACACTTTGCTTAAATATCTCCCAAAGACATCAGATTTCTTAGCTAAATATCCCGTTTCATCATGCACAAGTTCTACCTTCTACAAAATACTAGAACGTCAACACAGTTCAGTCAAGTTCTTTGCCATTTTATAACGAGGATTGTCTTCTCTCCCTTGGCCAATATGTTCCTTACTTTGTCTGACACCCCAACAGAATGGCCTTTATCATCCATATTTATACCAACATTCTGTTCATGATTATTTATGTGTTCTCTAAAAAGATGGAAACTTTCTTTCCAGCTCTCCTTTTTTCTCCCTGAGTCCTCACCAGAGTTGCCCTTTGAAGTTATCTTCATGGCAATCTTGACTTTTTCGAGCATATACCTCAAAACTCTTTCAGCCTCTACCAATGGCCCAGTCCAAAGCTGTTTCTGCATTTTTAGGTATTTGTTACAAGAGACACCAGTTCTTGCTCCCAATTCCTGTCTTAGTCTACTTGTGGTGCTGTAATAAAATGCCACATACTGGTGACTTTAACAGTAGATATTTACTTCTTACAGTTCTAGAAACTGGGAAGCACAATATCAAGGTGCTGGAAGATTCAGTTCTTGGTGAGGGCCCTCTTCCTGGTGAGACAGAGGAAGCTCTGGTATCCCTTCTTTTTTGTATGAGGGCACTAATCGCAGGAGACATAAGAGGCTCAAGATCGATACCTGGGTTGGGAAGATCCCATGGAAGAGAGCCTGGCAACCCACTCTGGCATTCTTGCCTGGAGAATCCCATGGACATAGAAGCTTGGTGGACTATAGTCTATAGCGTCACAGAGTCAGACGCAACTAAAGTGACTTAGCACACAAGCAGAATCCTAGAGGGGGGGGCCTACTCTCATGACCTCATCTAAGCATCATTACCTCCCCAAAGCTCCACCTCCTAATGTGATAACATTGGAAGGTTAGGCCTTCAAAATATGAATTTTGGAGGGACATAAATATTAATTTTATAATATGTAGGTAAAGTTTAAACTTCGTTTTTTTGAAACAGAATTGTACTCTTTGAAAAAGGATAACATGCCTGAAATAAGATTACAGTAAAAATTTTAAAAGTAGCACTGAAAAGTACCTGTGAATGTTCTGTAGAATTATAAACAGTATAGTTCTAGAGTAAACTTAAGTTTCATAAATCTAATAAGTCTAAAATAAACTTAATTAGGTTCTCTGAGAAATACAAGAGTAGCATAAGAAATGATTATCCTCACATAGAAGGGGCTTATATCATGTTTTGAAAAATAAGAAAAATATTAAACAAAATGGCATCGATCATAGCACCCATATGTTTTGTTTGTTTTTTTAATTTTATTTGGAGGCTAATTACTTTAAAATATTGTGGTGGTTTTTTGCCATACAGTCACATGAATCAGCCATGGGTGTACATGTGTTCCCCATCCTGAAACTCCGTTCCACCTCTGTCCCATCCCATCCCTCATGGTCATCCTGGTGCACCAGCCCTGAGCACCCTGTCTCATGCATTGAACCTGGACTGGTGATCTATTTCACATACAGTAATATACATGTTACAATACTATTCTCTCAAGTCATCCCACCCTTGCCTTCTCCCAGAGTCCAAAAGTCTGTTCTTTACATCTGTGTCTCCCACTGTCTTGCATATAGGGTCATCATTACCATCTTTCTAAATTCCATGTATATGATTTAATATACTGTATTGGTATTTTTCTTTTTGACTTACTTTGCTCTGTATAATAGGCTCCAGTTTCATCCACCTCATTAAAAATGATTCAAATGCATTCTTTTTAATAGCTGAGTAATATTCCATTGTGTATATGTACCACAGCTTTTTTATCCATTCATCTGCCTATGAACATCTAGGTTGCTTCCATGTCCAGGCTATTGTAAACAGTGCTGTGATGAACATTGGGGTACATGTGTCTCTTTCAATTCTGGTTTCCTTGGTGTATATGCCCAGCAGTGGGATTGCTGGGGCATATGGCAGTTCTATTTCCAGTTTTTGAAGGCATCTCCACAATGTTCTCCATACTGGCTGTAATAGTTTTCGTTCCCACCAAAGTGTAAGAAGGTTTTTTTTTCTCCACACCCTATCCAGAATTTATTGTTTGTAGACTTTTTGATAGCAGCCATTCTGACCAGCATGAGATGGTACCTCATTGTGGTTTTGATTTGCATTTCGCTGCTAATGAGTGATGTTGAGCATCTTTTCATGTGTTTGTTAGCCATCTAACAAACATGTTAGATGTTTGTATGTCTTCTTTGGAGAAATGTCTGTTTAGTTCTTTGGCCCATTTTTTGATTGGGTCACTTTTTTTTCTGGAATTGAGCTGCAGGAGTTGCTTGTCTATTTTTGAGATTAATTCTTTGTCAGTTGCTTCATTTGCTATTATTTTCTCCCATACTGAAGGTTGTCTTTTCACCTTGCTTATAGTTGCCTTTGTTGTGCAAAAGCTTTTAAGTTTAATTAGGTCCCATTTGTTTATTTTTGCTTTTATTTCCATTACTCTGGGAGGTGGGTCATAGAGGATCCTGCTATGATTTATGTCAGAGATTATTTTGCCTATGTTTTCCTCTAGGAGTTTTATAGTTTCTGGTCTTATATTTAGATCTTTAATCCATTTTGAGTTTATTTTTGTGTGTGGTGTTAGAAAGTGTTCTAGTTTCATTCTTTTACAAGTGGTTGACCAGTTTTCCCAGCACCACTTGTTAAAGAGATTATCTTTTCTCCATTGTATATTCTTGCCTCCTTTGTCAAAGATAAGATGTCCATAGGTGTGTGGATTTATCTCTGGGCTTTCTATTTTGTTCCATTGATCTATATTTCTGTCTTTGTGCCAGTACCATACTGTCTTGATGACTGTGGCTTTGTAGTATAGTCTGAAGTCAGGCAGGTTGATTTCTCCGGTTCCATTCTTCTTTCTCAAGATTGCTTTGGCTATTTGAGGTTTTTTGTATTTCCATACAAATTGTGGAATTATTTATTCTAGTTCTCTGAAAAATACCATTGGTAGCTTGATAGGGATTGCATTGAATTTATACATTGCTTTGGTTAGTATACTCATTTTCGCTATATTGAGTCTTCCAATCCATGAACATGGTACATTTATCCATCTATTTGTGTCATCTTTGATTTCTTTCATCAGTGTTTTATAGTTTTCTATGTATAGGTCTTTTGTTTCTTTAGGTAAATTTATTCCTAAGTATTTGATTCTTTTTGTTATGATGGTAAATGGAATTGTTTCCTTAATTTCTCTTTCTGTTTTCTCATTGTTAATGTATAGGAATGCAAGGGATTTCTGTGTGCTAATTTTATATCCTGCAACTTTACTATATTCATTGATTAGCTCT